AGAGGAACAGCAATATTGAGATAGTTGAGCTCTAGGAACAGAGATATCTGTGGAAATGGTTTTCTTTGCCCTTCACCTTTCCCGAAATTCATGCAGGGTAAGAGTTTGTGTTGCTGTTTAATTGCTACAGCAGCAATTTTTTAACTCTCATGTGCAAAATTAAGACAAGAATTGGGATTTAAAGGCCATTGTGTATCAACAGGTGGCATAAAAAAAATTTACTGTTGGCTTTTATTTTGAGAAGCTTTTTTTTCAGTTGGATTTCACTTTCACTTTTGAGGCTCCTGTGCTGCACTTAAGCTGTGATGCTTCGTGGGTAACACCCTTTGTACTTTTGTCACAGCTTAACAGGGCTGGGAGGTGTCTTACTGTAAAAAGTGTCATCCCAAATACATTTTTGTTCCTGATGTCTATTTGGCCTGTCCACTGGTGTGTGGGTGCTGTACCATTTATGGTGCAGCTGAGGAATTTTGGGGATGTAAAAAGACACTGGTCTCAGGAGAAGTTCCCATGACCTCTGCTCATACCAGAACCCTGACCTGGTATTCCACAGGTGACCAAGGAAGAAGTGTTTTCCTGTATCATGGAATCCCAGACTGGTTTGGGTTGGAAGGGACCTTAAAAAGATCCAGTTCCACCCCCTGCCATGGGCAGGGACACCTTCCACTATCCCAAGCCCCATCCAACCTGGCTTTGAACTCAGTAAGGAAAATATATCCCTTTGCTTCCTGTTACTGTGAGTAAAGCCCAGTTCCCAAGTTTCTTTAATCATTAACAGGTGTCACCATCACCTTGGCACTTGTGTTTTCCCTGTTCATGGACACTGCTCGGCAGCTGGGCTCTGCAAACACCTGGAGCAAACAGGACAGCCTGGGAGGGGCACTTTGGACTGTAACTGTGGCATCACCTGCGTTCTCAGCTCTGGGTTGTGGCACCTCGTGCCCAGGAGATTAAATATTTATAGGATGGGGCTGCTTGGAAAAAGTGCATTATTCCTACTGCCAGTGAACAGGAATGCAAATGATCTTTGAAGAGGATGTTGGGAGGTTTCTTGGGAGTGATGCCTTCCCGTTCAGAGGGCTGCAGAGTTTAAATATCCTGCTCAGTGCCTTCTCAGGTTGTTTTTCCCAAGATAAACACCGGAGCGCCACGTGTTGACTCGGTGACGTGCGCGGTGCCAGGGCTGTGCGGTGCCAGGGCTGTGCGGTGTCAGTGCTCTGTGTTTGCCCAGCGGCCTCGTTGGGTGAAGGTCGAGGAGCTTCAGTTGCACAGGAGGTCAACAGCAGTTTGTTCACCTTCCCTTACATCCCCGAGGAACGTCCCAGGGCGTGCCACAACCCCGGGAAGCAGCTGACTCAGAGGTGAGAGCAAACCCAAGCGTTCCGTGCCCGTCCTGTTGCAGATCCCGTGCCGCAGCCATGATGCCGGTGGCCACCGTGATGCCCAACGACACGCCCCTGTTTGACCCCAGGATTCTGCACGAGCTGGACTGGAGCGAGAACACCACGACGTTTTCTCCCGCTATTTCTCCCCTGGACCCGGGGGATGGGCTGGTTCTGAGGCCACTTTGCACAGCTGATTTAAACCGAGGTAGGATCCTGTGTGATCATCACCAGATCAATGGTGTGTATCTGTGCATGAGCTCTCGGTAGGTTGGGATTGCTCTCTCCCTGATTTGGGTTATTTTCATCAGTGAGCAATTTCATGGAATCATAGGGCATCCTGAGTTGGAAGAGACTCACAAGGGTCATTGAGTCCAACTCCTGGCCCTCTACACAACACCCCAGCAATCCCACCACGTGCCTTGAGAGCCTTGTCCAAATGCTCCTGGCAGGTTTAGGGCCATGACCACTACCCTGAATCTGAGCACTTGGCACTGTGGATTGGTGCTGTGTTGGGTGACCCTGAAAACTTGGTTTACTGTTTTAATCTTAAATTTAAATCAAATATTCCACAACTTCCTATTCCCCACAGCTTTAGAGAGGGAGCACAATTTTTCATACTGTTCCCTTTAATATCAGAGCAACATGAACTGGCATTTTGGTGCGTGAATTCTCCTTCAGTTCTGCAGTTTGGATAAAAAAGTTGTTTTGGACATATGACTGAATATCACATAATTCCAGGCTTATCCTTTTCTTGCACCTTCTGCACTCAAGCTGCAGTTTGCTCTGATGCTTCAGCTGATCCTTCAGCATTGCCCAGGGTGGGAGCTTCATGGGATGGTAACTCTCCAAACAGGCTGTTGGGTGTCATTTAGAGCTAACTGTGTGTGTCTGTCCCTCCCTGAGGGTTTATTGTTCCCCCCTCTTTTCCAACAGGCTTTTTCAAGGTTCTGGGTCAGCTGACAGAAACTGGAGTTGCAAGCCCAGAGCAGTTTATCAGTGAGTATATCATTATTCCTTGGAATTTCCATAGAAGTGTTTGGGAACCAGAGGATTCTGATGCTGGCAGCAAAGCTGCCTGGGAGTGAGGCTTTGACTGCCTGATGCCAGAGGGAGTGATGAGCTCAGCTCCCCTGAGGCAGCCTTTGGCACTCAGCCTTGGATCCAGCTGCAGTGATCCCTGAGGGCTGCTTGGCTGGGACAGGCCTAATTGTGAACCTGCTTTTGAGACTGAGCTTAAGATACCTGGCATGGGTTATTTGGGCTGATTTTGGGTTGCTCCAAGCCCCATCCAGCCTGACCTTGGACACTTCCAGGGATGAGGCAGCCACAGCTTCTCTGGGCAACCTGTGCCAGGGCCTCCCCACCCTCATAGTCAGGAATTTCTCCCCAGTATCCCATCTAACCCTCCACTCTGCCAGTGGGAAGCCATTCCCCCTTGTTCTGTCTCTCCAGGCCCCTCTCCAAAGTCTCTCTCCAGCTCCCTTGGGGCCCACTTCAGGACCCTTTTAGATCCCACTCCTTGGTAGGCAGGCACTGGGGAAGCAGCCAGGGATGCAGGGAATCACAGGATCTAGGCCAAGCCCACCATTAAACCATGTCCCCAGGTGCCACATCCACAGGGCTTTGAAATCCCTCGAGGAATGGGGACTCCAGCACTGCCCTCAGCAGCTGTGCCAGGGCTGGACAACCCTTTCCATGGAGAAATTCCTGCCTGTGAGGGTGGTGAGGCCCTGGCACATTTTGGCCAGAGATGCTGTGGCTGCCCCATCCTGGAAGTGTCCAAGACCAGGTTGGACAGGGCTTGGAGCAACCTGGGCTAGTGGAAGGTGTCCCTGCCCATGAAGGGGGTGAAATGAAATGGCCTTTAAGTCCCTTCCAATGCAAGCCAGTCTGGGATTCTGTTAGAGCCCAAAGACACTGGGGAAGGAAGGATCTCTGGGCATCTGAGGAAGAGGAATTCACTTTAATTTCTGCTTTATTTTGGGTTAGTCTGACTCCTGGGCTTTCAGGTTCTGGGGTCTTGAGTGCATCTTCCTTGTGATCCCACAATAATCTGCAGTCAGAATGTGCTGCAAGTGTCAGACTTACCTGCAGTTTAATCTGAGACTAAACTGACTGTTCCACTCTCTGCTCCCCCAGAAACCTTCGAGCACATGAAGAGATCGGGAGATTATTACGTTACCGTCGTGGAGGACACAAACCTTGGGCAGATCGTTGCTACAGCAACGCTGGTTATAGAACATAAATTCACTCACTCCTGTGCCAAGGTAAATCCTGTCACTGCAGCTGGAAAGGGAGGAAAAAATCCCGTCCCTGACTCTGGACATGGTGGTTTTATGGTGTTCCGGTGTGGTGATGGCCTTAAGTTGTGCCAGGGATGGTTTCAGTTGGACATGAGGAAAACTTTCCACATGGAGAGGGTTGTCCAGCCCTGGCACAGCTGCCCAGGGCAGTGGTGGAGTCCTCATCCCTGGAGGGATTTCAAAGCCATGTGGATGTGGCACTTGGGGACACGGGTCAGTGGTGGCCTTGGCAGTGCTGGGGGAATGGTTGGACTCAATTGGACTCAAGGGTCTTAGAGGGCTTTAAAATGTAAATATTTTTACCTTAAAAATGTAAATATTTTTAAAAATAGATTTAAAAACATCAAGTATTTTCTGCATTTTAAAAATATCTCTCATTTGGGTGCTCAGCTAACAGTAAAAGAAAACTTGGGCTTTTCCTAAGGGAAAACTGCATTTGGAAGTCTGTCCTGTTCTCCCTTCCCCCCAAAAAAAGTGAGCTTCTGCACAAGTCAGACATGGTTCTGATGGAGCAGGTGGACAAGGATCTCCCTGTTGGGAATCCCAGCCAGACTGTGAAAACAGGGAGCTGAGCTGGAGATCCACACCTGGATCCCGTGGTGGGAAGCTGGAAGAGGAATTCCAGTCCTAACCCTTGGCTATGTTTCCACAGAGAGGGAGGATAGAAGACGTGGTGGTCAGCGGGGAGTGCAGGGGGAAGCAGCTTGGAAAACTGTGAGTATTTCCCCACCTTTTCCGTTCAGCAGCAGGTGGGCACCAAGCACTTGCAGCTTCCTGCAGGGCAGATCCACCCTGCCAGGGACCTGGGAAGAACTTAGCCAGCAGGGATCACCAGCTGGGAATAAAATGATCCACTGGAAAACGCAGAGAGTGCTGTCAGTGCTGTCAGACCTCAGTGTTGTCACTATGATAATTTAATTAAATGTTCACTGACCCAACGTTTAACTGTTGGTTTTCTGTCTTTCCCAGATTAATATCCACCCTCACCTTGCTAAGTAAGACACTGAACTGTTACAAAATCACGCTGGAATGTCTGCCCAAAAACGTGGATTTCTACAAGAAGTTTGGCTATTTGGTATCTGAGGAAAACTACATGTTCCAACGGTTCTTTAATTAACAACTTCCAGGTGGTAAAAGACTGTTGGTGGAGGAGCTTGTGCTCCAAACATTCTCTTCGTGGAAAACTTACATAGTTTATGGCTGCAAATATAATGATCCCTATAAATAATGAACATCAAATGTGTAAATCCCGGGAAAACAAATTAATGAGGTTTTAGAAGGGTCCTCTGGGTTAGGGGAAAAAAGCTTAGAACTAATTTTTACTGCTGTTGAGTCGAGGTGAGGCTTTTCTGTTCTAGCTGAGTTACAAAGGACTCGTTAAAGGGATGGTTTTTAACCAAAGGTATATATTTTTATCTCAAATTTTTTCTTGCATTGTATTTTTCTAAAGTTTTGTGCTTCTTTTCTTGGTAGCCAAAGGACAGCCCCTGGGATTGTCCTGCTGCCTGTGCTGATGGAAGGGTGACAGAGCTTGGGAAGGGATGAGGCTTCTCTTATGCAGAATTACTGACACAGAACAGGCCTTTGTTCTGTTCTTTCCATGACACCTCACAGAAGTGCTGTTGGAAGTTTTATAGGCACTATTTTCCAAGGCTGGATTTGTTACTGTTTGCGCAGGTAGGGGAGGATCCTTATGGGCTGTGCTGGATTCCCAGTCTAAAGATGGATGTGTGCTTCTCACTGCAGGGCTCCTGCACTTTAGCTGATAACTTGGTTTTCAGGATAATTAATTGTTTTCTGACACAAAAAAACCCCAAATGTGGTTTGTGACAGGGCAGAGGGAACTTGGAAGCTGGAATGTCTGATGGAATATACTCCATCTGTAGTGGATTCTGGCTAGTAATCAATGGGAAAGGGATTGGGATTAGCAGATTCAGCTGCACCTGAGAGCTGGGGGTGTTCAGCCTGGAGAAGAGAGAAGAGACATTGGAGCCCCTTCCAGTGCCTAAAGGGGCTCCAAGAGAGCTAGAGAGGGACTTGGGACAAGGGCCTGGAGGGACAGGACAAGGGGGAATGGCTTCCCATTGACAGAGGGTAGGGTTAGATGGGATATTGGGAAGGAATTCGTAACTGTGGTGAGGCCCTGGCACAGGTTGCCCAGAGAAGCTGTGGCTGCCCCTGGATCCCTGGAAGTGTCCAAGGCCAGGTTGGATGGGGCTTGGAGCAACCTGGGATAGTGGGAGGTGTCCCTGCCTGTGGCTGGGGGAGGGATAAGATGGGCTTTAAGGCCCCTTTGAACCCAAATCATCCTGTGATTCTGTGAACTGAACACACCCGGCCAACTCCTCTTGGACAGTTCCTGTCCTGGAACTCCTGGAGGCCAGGTGGGCTCTGCTTCTGCTGGTATGGATTTATCCCTCCAGCATCCTGCTCCCAAGGGATTGTTGCTGCTTTGGAGCTTCCCTCTTGCTGTAAGATTGGATAAATGATTTTAGCACTTTTGCCAGCGGTGGCAAACAAGGTACAAAGCCCTGGATTCAACAGTGGTGTTTTGTGTGGAGAGTGACAAATCCCACATCCATGAATAGGGCATTATAAACCCCCGGGGCTTGTAGGGAACAGCCTGTGTTGTTTGTGGGCCGTACACAGTGTCCCCCATTGTGCTGTGGAGAGCAGCCCTACACTGTGCTGGGAGCTCTGCTTGATGTTCCTGAGGGTTCTCCACTTGATACGGTGTCTCCTTGGTGATGTCTGGTTTATTTATTGATTATTTTTTTAAAAGATATCTTTGTTTAAGCTGAATAAATGAAATCTGCCAACTGTACCTGGACTGTTTTCTATAGGGTGGTAGGTCCCCAGAGCAAGTGTGTACCTGTTCCCCTTTCCCTAGGCTGAACAGTTTTTGAGATTCCTCATGGATTTCTCTCCAGGGCTCTTCCCTGCTGTGTTCCATGGACAAACATCTCCATGGCTTGAGCCCTGACTCTGAACTAACTCTGTAAAGCAGCTCCTGCTTCGTGCTGGCCCAAGCGACTGAGGTGGATTTTCTTGCCTTTCACATTTTTAATTAATTCTGAACTTCCACTACTTTCAAGTGGATTAGTTGAATTCCATGATATCTACACCATCTAAATAGCTCCGGGCCCTCATTAAGAGTTAATGAGAAGATTAGTAGGAGTGAGGAGCAGGTGCTTGTGGCCCCAGCTCAGATCATTGTAAAACAAATGGATTGGTTTCAAAGCTGGGTTTTGTGGCTGCATGACAAAGCCTCTGCGGGCACAACCCGGCTTTGAAGAGCTCTTTGTTCTGTCCCAGAGGTGACATTCCCACCCCTCTGGAAACAGCAGCTGGAGAGCTGAGGCTGCCCGGGATGGGGACTTAGAGGGGCCACTGTGGGGTCAGGTGTGTCCCTGGAACATCACCAGTCACAGGTGTGTGTTTGGAACTCACAGGAATGGGGAAAATGCCACAAATTACAGCATTTAACAGCCACAGGGGGTATGGAAATATATTGTCCACCTTCCCAAACTGCTGAAGCCCATTAATTTATCTACATTTATCTAATGTGTGTATGTATATATATACACATTATATATAATATAGAGCTGTGGATCCCCAAAGACTTGGTTGCTGCAGTTTTGTGTCTGAACCTGGGGAAGGGGAAATAAAAAATAATGATTCGCTCTCCACCACTCCCTTAAATCCACAGTGAGGGACCCTCCTGCCAATTCCCACCTCGAGCTGAACCCCCAAAAGCAAACACTGAAATAGCTGCTGGCAGTTCAGCTACAGGAGACAGACATCAGGAAGTTTTAAATAAAAGGCTTAATAATAGATATGAGCGAAATTAATCTCTGAATCCCTTAGGATGTGACAGGCAGACAGATCAGAATGACTTTAAAAGGCATCAGGATGTGGTGACAGCATGGAAAAAAAACTGGATTGGTGAAAAATCCTTAGTCATGGAGTAGTAACAGAGTCTCCCCGGGACCCCAGGGATGACGGCCCAGACTGCACATGGATGAGCCTGGTGAGATGAATCAGTGCCTTCCATCTGTGTTTCATCCCTCCCCTTCCCCAGGGACCCAAAATAGAAAGGGATCTGCTGGTTCCCACCCCTGTTTCAGCAGCAGCTCGTGGCTGGCAGTGTCTGAGCCGTGCAGCCATGTGGGAGCCTCGTGGTGGAACGGCCGGGAATGTGTTTCCCAACAGCCCCAGAAGAATTCCTTTATGGAGAGTCACTTCGGAGGAAGTAACAAACCCTCCACCACTGCAGAACCAGCCCTGCACGCTGAGCCTGTGGGCTGAGCACTGACACAGGGCAGTTCTCCAGAAGAGAAGTCACTTCCTTTTTTCCAGCTGAAAATTTCGTAACTCCAGCATCAGACTTTTTATTCCAGGTTTGTTTTTTTTTCCCCCTGAAGGATTTACGCTGCTCCATCACTGCTGGAGGTGGCAGAGGTTCTCAGCAGCACTTCCCTGTTCCTGCTGATCACTGGTTGAGAACTCCAGGGCCTTCACATTCCATGGGAACAGAGGTTATTAGCTGGAAAGCCTCACCCTGTGTTCTGGCTCAGCTAAACAACCCTGACTCACTGTGGGATGTTTCCTCCTCAGGTGTCACCCACATCTGTCCCAGAGCAGCTCCAATCCAGGCACGGATTTTCAAACCAGGTTTAACTACCCTGACGTGGCCAAAAGCTCCACGTGCTCCAGAGGGACCAGCCCTCAGCAGGCCTTCCCAGGAGCTGCAAGTCCAGGGAAAGGAGACCCCCCCCAATACTAAACAACTGCACTGTTTAATTCCTGTCCTCAAATCCACAGATCTGGAATCTCAAGGAATCCCCCCCCACAGGTTGTCCATTCTGAGGTGGCAGAGGACATTCCCATCCCCACCTGGCCATATCCAAGTGCAGGGGGATGCCCTGATCCCCAAATCTTGAGCCCACCTGCTCCATGTTAAAACACAGTCCAGGTACAAGCTCAGATTTCCCAAATCCACAGGATTTTCTAACAGGTTTCTGAAGTGCTCAGTCCCCACAGTGCTCCCAAGGAACCATCATTCCATTCCCAGCTTTTATGCAAGAAACATTGGGAAATAAAGCAGATGCAGAACTGGGACTTGCACAACCTCTGTGCTGCTGGGGCAGGAAAAGAGTTAAAGCTGCACAAACCACCCTGACAATTCCCAATTTGGAAACTTCAAAGCACCAACAAGTGTTTCCTTAGTTGACTCCAGTGTTTCACCAGACCTGAGGTGAATCCTTGAAGTCTTGGTCCCATAACAGGCAGCGCTTTGGGCCTCAGTTTTCAAACAGCACCCCAGGTTTTTACCTCAAATAATGCAGCTGTTGTCTTATAACAGCAACTACTCCTTCAGTACGAGTTTGAAGATGTTTGTTCAACTTGAGTTAACCCTTAACTCATTTACAAGCAGCTTTTTAATGCTGGCTAAAAGAACTCAGCCTTGACGTGTGTCAAATTGGCTGCCCCTCTGTACTAGCCCAACACATGATTATTTTATTAAGTCATCAGTACCCTGTTCAACTTTCACTTCCATAAAACAGGGAGATTTTCAGAACAGTCTTCCATTGGTCCCAGAGTGCCAGTCTCAAGGTAATTCAGTGTACAGTGAGGTTAAACACTGCTCAGCTCACTGCCAGCAGCAGCACATTGTGCAGCTCCTAAAGCTCGTTTCTACCACGAGACATACTGAGAACAAGGTGAGTTTTAGCAAACTTTTTCTTTACTAAAGTCTCTTGTTATAAATTACACAAATAACTTTATAAACAAATCCCCCCCCGCTTGCATTTTGTTTAAAGTAATAACTTTATATCATACAAATAAAGAAATTTCAAGTATGAAAAGTGCATTATTGCAATAATACCTCTTTGCAAGTCCAAAAATCTTGGTTTAGGATAAAACTGTAAAGTGTAAAAAAGGAGTAAAACAATCAGTGCCATCTATTCATTCAAGAAGTCCAACATCTTAAAAATGATGCTTAGTGTGTTGCAGAGGCAGATTTACATCTGAAAGCAACATGTAATTGAAAAGAAGCAATGTGTGTTCATTGTTTTGCATTATTAAGTCATTTTTTTTTCCCCTAGTTTTCTTCACCTTTCTTGGCAGGAATTCATAATACAAACAGTGCTTGTCCTCAGCTCTCATCCATTCTGTGCTGCTGCCACTTGCATGGTTCCAAGTTCTTCATCCTCCTCGTGCATCCTCTTTAAACTTCCTGCAAAAGGGAGAAGAGGGAAGTTCAGTCATTGGAGAACAGAATATTTAAGCATACTGAAGTTTGGACACAGCTTGCACACCAACTGCAGCCATCCCAATTTATTCTGCTCCTGAAAGTTTACTTAGGGGAGTGTAAAAATCCCCTCACACACAACAGGAGGGGCTTCTCACCTGTATTCCCAGGTGGAACCGAGAGGGATCTCTCCAGCTGCAGTGGTGACATCATCTGGATGGTTAATTTTGCTAGATAGATGGCTTCATATTCCTGAAAAGGTTGAAAGATGCATAATGCAATTAGCAATTAATTTGGCATGATGCTTTGTAAGGATGAGGAGGATGAATTCAGAGAGTTCACCAGGATGGACTGGAGAGTATTTTATAATACTCTAATTTTATAAGATTTTGGAGGAGGAGAATCTTTTGTTGCTTTGCCACGAATGACAAAAACCATCAAGGAAGACAGAGCTAAAGAAAACTTTGAGGATGACTTAAAAAAATGGCTTTAAGGAACACACAAACTTGGGAGACACTCAATCATCTCGCTGCCAGCCCTCAGCAGAGACACTGCAAATCTCTGTCAGCACGCTGCCTGCCCGCCAGACCCTTGGAATATGACAGAGCAACTCCAGGATTCTGCTATTTGCTGCCTCAGACTTGTGAATCTCCCCAGCTCTGAGTGCCAGTGCCAAGCAGCATCACTGGTAGGTGCCACAATTCACTTGGCAGCTCCCTCAGCCACCAGCAAAGAGGTTTCAGAGCCTCTTAATCACTGCACACACCAGGGGTTTTTATTTCTCCTTCACTCCTGGGTTTTTTGTGTCTAAAGCTTCAGTCTCAGGAGCTGGGGTGCCCACTCATCTTCCTGCCAAGCCCTGCTGCAGCTCCTGACATTTAGCTGTTAGTAAATGTGAAGTCTGAGTAGAAATGTCTGTCTGGTAGGAAAATGATTCATTAAATGGCTTTTGAGTTATTATCAGAAAAAAAAAAAAAAAGTCACCTGAAGTTGATGGACAAATCCAGCATTAGGATTAATACAGAATCTTCTTTCTTGGACATAAGTAAATGCATCCCTTAAAAGGAGAAGGAGAGAGAAAACACTTCAGTGGAAAACAGACTATACAAAAGTTTGTGGTGTGAGTCTTCCTTCAGATTATCAGTTCCTAGGAACTACAGAACCTCTAAACCCTCCAAAAGGCTGGTTTTACAACAAAACAGGAGGCAGTAGGTATAAAATGCTGTTTGCCCAGCCCAGTCCTCAGCTGGATTTCCTCTCAACACAGTGCTTAGAACAGCCCTTGGGGCCTATCCCATAGTTTTACATCCATGGATACAAGGCTGCTGTCCCACTTCCATTAGCAGCAGGTCCCTACTTCTTTAAAAAAAAGAAGGATTTAAACACACCTGCAGTGAAGTGAAATGGAATAATCAGCCCCTTGTAAAGTCCTCACTCACCAGGCAGTGTCACCTACTGAGACTGAGTGAACACACAACTGTTTGTGCTCCCTCCAAAGTGATTATTCACTTACCCCCCCTTGAATTAAAGCACAAATACCTGTTCTTACCTGTACTTCACCCCAAATGTCTCCATTATGTATGCAATAACTAAGGCAGCACTGAAAAGAAACGAACAGAAATCAGTAAAATATATTTTAACAGTTTATAAAAATATTCCTATGCAGGATGGAAAGTTTCCTACCTTCTAGAAATCCCTGCATTTCCATGGACAAGAACTTTTCCTGAGAAGGAAAAAAAAAACAAAACAACAAAAACAATAATTAAGATCCTCTAACACATACCACTAATTAGTTTTAAAGCTTTAACAATGTCTTAGTAGATGAAGGAAAGAAGTTAGTGTGATTTTACCTCCACTTTGTAAACTTCCATCAATAAATTCTTTAGTCTGAGAAGAAAATAAAAACTGAGTCAAACTTCCACGTTATTTTAAAAGCAAGTAGCAGTAACACCTGAATTTTGGTAGAATTTTTGTATCAGTCTTACAATGCACCAACTGGACATTTGTATTTCTTTTGTACTTTTAACTATCCATAAAATTGTCAGTGAAAAACTAGGTTTTTAGGTGGAAGAAGGAACAAAATGCTTTTGCTCTGTTGCAAACTGAATTAAAACAGAGAGGAAAACCCCATAGCTCTAAATCAAGGGTTTATTCTATTGCCAAATATCAGCATGTAACTGTTTAACTTAATGTTACTTTTTAATTCCTCTGCAGTAACATGTTTCAAGATGCTGTAAGACTCAGTTACAACACCCAGTTACTGTTTTGAGTTTGGGTTTGGATCTGATACAAGAGATGTAAATCCTCATGGGCTCAAAATAAAAGTTTCCCAAAGGTCAAGGTCCCCAGGATTCCCCCATTTCTTTGTTTTGAGACCAGTCCTTTTTAGTTTTATTCCCTTTTTTTGGAGACCATGGCAAGGCAAAGCTCTTACAACTCTGTCTCCACACTTGTTAAAAGGAGTTAATTACACTTATTAAAGTGTCACTTAAGAGCTTGGCAGCACTTCCAGGTGCCTCAGGCTGGGTATCCCAGATTTGAAACTGCTGCCTGTTAGTCAGGAAAACTCTTCCTGGGCAACTCCATTCCCAAATAAACACTCACCATAGGGAAAAATCGTATTATATTCTCAACTGGATTATCTGCAATATCCAAGACTAAATACCTGCAATGAGAACAGCTGCTGTGAGTAAACAACAACACTGAGTAGCTACTACTGGTACAGCCCCCCAGTTACTCACACCTGCAGGAGGATCCCAGCACTTCCCTCCTGGCTTTGCTTTCTGACCTGAGCTCCAGAAATCCTACAATTAAGGAAAACTCTGGAGCTCTCCTTGTGAGGAAGGAAGTGAGGAACCTTCTGTGACAATCCCCTGACAGAATCACCTCTGAGAACCATCAACTTTAAGCCTGAAGTTGCTGCAAACTGATGGATAATTCTCATTTCAGGCTCGTCTGGAGTTCAGCAGGACAGACAAACTTCATGGGTTGGATTTAAAATCTTTCTGCACCTCAGCACATTTTTCAAATGGTTTTGACATCATGAAAATATTTGGAAAGGACACCCACACACACCCAAAAAAAAAAAGGAATCTGGATGGTTTCTCACCTAAATAACTGTTGGAAGTTTGGTTTAATAAAATTTGCTTCAATGTTTTGCCGTATGCAGATTACATGGGTTATTCCATGTTTCTGAAGGATAGGTAGCTGTGGGAAGAGAAAAACAACAGCTTTTTGAAATTACAGATCCATCTATTACACAGTAATAAAAAGAAAAGGTTATACTTAATAACTATATATAGTTAATAAGCATATATATATATAAAATAAGGATATAATATATATATTTAATAACCATGCACAATAGGGCTATATCATGTGCTCAAAGAAAATCAGAGCTGGTTTTCTAGAATTTAGGGTGGAAATTAGTGTCTTTCAAAAGGAGAAAGCATTCCTAACAATGCCAAAAAGATCAGGCATTAAGGGAGGCATTCAATGAACTTGTTTGTCTCTGCCCACCTCTCACTTCGCCTGAAGTTGCAAGTCCCTACACGATGGAGGAATTTCCAGCCAGCTCTGGATTCTTGCTGGAATGAGACCATGAAAATAAGATCATTTAAAGTATGAGGCAAGTTTTCAGAGCCAAGCTGTGCCTTAGCAGTGTTTGATTTTATTGGAGATTTAATTGTCCTTGTCTTACTCTGCGTGTGTGAGTGCCCAGCTCTGATTTGTGTTGCAACACTTTAACGAAGGAAATAAATTGCCTGGTCTGAAATGGTCTCAAACTGTTTAAATTTTCAAAGACTTATATTAAATTTTAACTCCAAGACTCAATTTCCATACAAATAGCTCAGACCATCCCATATTCCTTCTGCTCTGGGATCTTCCACGTTCCAGCTGAGGGCTGCAACCAAATTTACCCCTCTATGGACACACCTGAACATAAACCCACAGCAACAAATCACCACAGCAAAGCTTCCCTGGGAGAGAATATTCTGAAAAATCATACCTTGCTTTTCATAGCTGAAGAATATGGGCCTAAAAATAACCCAGGTAAAATTTCCTAGGAGGAAGAACAGACATTTAATACCAGCTCCCAATGATGTGAAATAACTCATTTCACTCACCTCGGAAACAAATCATTTACATTTTAGGGAGAGGTGTGTTATTGATAAGAGGACAAGGGGAAAAAAAAAATAGTCAGTTTGGCAGGATAAAAGAAACATGATCTTTGTGCAGGAGATCTTGTTTTGGAACTGGAATCAAGCCCTTTATTGGGACCGAGTTCCAGGTTGATTACGGCATCTCACCCAGCCCCAGATCAAGTGGAGGGAACTCTAACTTGGGATATAATCCTGTCTTGGAATTCATTCCAAATCAGTCTCATGGAAAGAGAGGCACACTAGGCCTTGTCCTGTGTAAAGATTTGGCTGATAGATGGAAGGAAAACTTTAATTTTCCATCCTCCTGGAGAACACTTCCAAGCAAATTTAAGTCAGAAAGCAAAGCTCTGATACGTTTTTAGCAATCATCTAAAAACATTTAGAATGACAAAACTGCAATATTTGGGGGATTATGAAAAAAAAAGGACAAAATTAATTTATTTTTAGTACTTGCACAACAGAAATCCAGGCATATCTGCATTCCAAGCTGGCAAATCCTCACATTAATTAACTAATTAATTCTGTCTCCTGTGGTGCTGCCTGACACTTTACCTGTAAAGACTGATTTGATACCAGCTCTTTTTTTTTTCCCCCCTCACTGAATGCTCCATGTTTTTTGCCTCAAATGGTAAATGGAAGTGTCATACCTGCATCTCTCTCCTCATGGGATAGGTCCAATCCTTGAAAAATAAAATAAAAAACAATTACATATACACAAAATATCCTGGCAGAGATCTGTAGATGAGGAAGGGGGAAAAAAAAAAAAGCTTTAGAACATTCTGTATTAGTCACAGAAATAGAAAATAAAATTCCTTTGCCTGGTACATTCCTGCAGCCACTGGAAAAACAGAGGATAACAAGAAGGGCAGGTACCTCCCTTAAAATCCACACTGCCTCACCTAATACACTCTAGCTGCCTTCATTGGGAATATTCAGGATTTGGCTTTAACAATTCCAGAAATTTGAGTGCATTCTACTTTTGCCCATCCTGCAGTTGCACTGGGAAGGATCCTGACACAATAAACACCAATCCTCCCTGTTGGTTAACTCACAGCTCCCACAAAACCCCAGACCCTCACGTTTGTGAGGGTTCCCCCCCCATTCCCAGCTATTTACAATCCATCAGAACTCCCAGAGCAAATGCCAGGATCAACATTCCCATCCTTTGCTCCATTTTAGCACTGCCAAAGCTGAACAGAAAAATGCTCAGGAAGAGTCTGTTCCTGTCTTTCCCTCCCTATAATTCCCACTGTCCTCTATTCTTTGACTCTCACACCCCAAGGAGTTGTAGCTGAGATCCCAGTTGTCAGTTGGAGGGGGAAAAAAAGGGAATAGTCCCACAAATCAAATACTGAATACATTTATTCACATAATTTTACTGTTGATTCACACACAACCAGCAGCCAGGAGAAAACTTCCCCTATGTTATGTTCCAGTGTCCTCAAAACCATGGGAAAGCTAAGCCCTAAATATTCCAGCTGTGAAGTGAGGTCAGGATTACACCAGGAAAGATCCCTTAAACCTGAGCACCTCCCCACTTGTACCAGGAGCATCGATTTCCCATTAAACCTCTTTTTCCCAATACAATAAAAACCCAGTGCTTCCCTCAGACACCCCCATGGTGAACAGGGAGGATTTTCTAGCTCTTGGTAGTGGAATTAGAAAGGATTTTAGTATCAGTGAAATTATTCTGGAAAGTACTTGGATTGAATCTGGGACAGCTCTTCTGAGAAAGCAAACAAACATTGAGCCACTCAAAACAATCCTTTGGATACCACCTAAAGTGGTAGCACAAACAGGGAAATAAAATGCACTGAAATGGGTTTTGCTAAAGACACAGAAGTAGCTAAATTACTTCTGCATGTTCCAGCTGGAATAATAAAAGCTCCTGGAAGCAGAAAAGTAAAAATGCTGTGACAAAAGATGGTATTTTCAGAACTGTACCCTTTGAAGGTTGACCTGAGAGTGTTTAGCATAACCCTGTTGTCTCACTGCAGATACAGAAGCATCATTCACTCCTCCAAAAGCAAAGAAAACCCATTTTTGTCCAAAAATAAAAGCAACACTAAGAGCAATAAAAGTCTGAGAAGCTTATGCTGCACTCCAGGACTACACACAAGCACTTAAGTGGGGTTATTACTCTGTTTGCAGAATTTAAAAGTCTTAATTTGGAGCATAATGAAAAGACAAATTCATGTCCCCTTTGGCTGAGGGGACTTCACAAACACAAGGCAAATATTCCTTTCCAATGCTTTAGAAGCAGGAATCTGTTAGTCCCAACAACTGCAAACTCTGCAAAGAACTGAGTGCAAAGGGGCCCAACCCCAAAATACAGCACAGACGTTCTGAACAAGGCAAATGAAATGTCTGTGCAGGTCCCAGACATGGTCTTTGGTGTTCTCCAAGAAGGCAAAAAAGATACAGTTACCAGTGGGATTTAGGCTGCAAAATAAGTATCTGAGAGATGGTGTTGAAAGAAAACATTTAATCTGAGGCGAGTACACAAACTACTGAAAGAGTGATTGTGGTGGTTGCTGACAGCCCTTCAAGGCTTTTGAACCCAACAATGCCAGATTATTCAAATGCTATGCAAGATTATGTAAAAAACCCCAACCTGTTAATGGAGAGTGAACCCCAGCAGAGGTTTCATTTTAAGGAATTCATTCATCAACCCTGTTTTCCACCCTGTCTGACAAATAACAGCTGAAAGTTTCCCTTTTCTGCAGACCAAATGCAAGGATTCTGCAAAGAAAACAACTGATGATGCCAGAGATGGAGAAAGGGACAGCATTCCTTGGTGCTGAGGATTTGGGAGGTTCCCCAGAACATGGGGCAACAGGAAGACAAATTCATCAACACATGCAAGACACTGAAGAGAAGGAATGCAAAAAATAACCCCCACAACCCCAAAGTTTTACAGAGGAACCACTCACCTCTGACTTATCTCCCCAAACTAGACTGGGATTCGCTGGTGGACAAGTGCAAGAGATGCCTGTGCTGTAATTACCTTAATTATCTGCTGTAATCTGTATTTGCACAAATGAAATTCCAGGGGCCCTCTAAATTCAATTCCTGTCCCAGAATGGAGTGACTGGCAAGAGAAAAGGGAATAAAGAACATTTCAAAGCCCTCCCTTCCCCTTCCAAAGCCGATCTCCAGCTGAAATAATTTGAAGATATCAATTAACAGGTAAGACTTGTCCACACTATAAAGAGCTTCTTGGTATCCAATATCCAAACTGCATCAAGAATAGCTCTGCCAACACTTTATTTGTCAAAGCTGAGCTTTGGCTGAAAGGCAATCCCAGCTCTGCCCTCGCCTTGGGATGGTTTAAACTCCTGCTGCCTTGTAATTAGCAGAGCCTGCAAACCACAGACTGGCCCAGATGAAGGGAGAAGCTCTCAAAGGTGCTGAAAATCACACCAGGAAAATAAATCTGATCATTTGTTTAAGGAGGATGACATTAGGAAGTATCTTTCCCAGAGTTTCACCGCTGCCTCTTACCTGCTCAGCATCACCCACCACCCGAATGACTCTCCCTCTTCCCAGACCTCAAATCCTTTGGAAAAGCTGCACACAGCTCCCAGTAAAACCTTCCTGACCACTCCAGATGACCCTTTCCCAACACTCAGCTCTTTTGTTGTTGATTTACAGCATCACTTCCCTCCCCACACAGATTTCTCTTCCCATCACAATCCATCACAGCCAGGACTTGTGCACGACTGACACCTCAAAAACCCCAGGGCTGTCAGAATCCTCCTGCCTGAATCTGCTCCCCTGCCTGTGGTACCTTCACACGGGCTGTAACACTCCGAGTCTCTGCTCCCAAACCTGCTACAACGTTGTGAAGTGGAAGCTGCAGAAACTGTTACAGGGCTGCTCCAATTCCTTCATCCATCCTGGACAAATCTTGGCTCCAACTTTGTGCCACCGTACAGGAAATTCAAATTACAGCCTGATGGTGTCATATCAGAAAAGTCAGAGGGCAGGACTGGATCAACTGCCAGCACCACTATCATCCCCCTTCACAGGATCCAGCTTGGATTGGGGATGGGTCCTGATCCCAAAGCTTTGTGCTGAATTCCCAGGCAGCTTTAAGTGTAATTCATACAGTGAAGTAAAATCTCGGGTTTGAAAGAATTTTAGACAATATTTAAAAAAACCCTCCCAGCTTATGTAGGAGGGGAAGAGGGGATGTTATCATTAAAGACCTGCACAAAAACAGAGTTAAATCAAGGCCTTTGTAAAACAGATCAAACACTGCCAAAAGAAACCTTGAAATACTAAAGCAGAACATATTCATTTGCCATCTTTTAATAAGCAGACAAACTAAATGAAGTGCTGAAATCACATTCAAGAAAAATATTTGAGTATTACTGAAACCTGTCACCTCTCTCACTGAAGGGTGGTACTTAAGGGCCTCAAAACGAGCTGCAAACAAGAGTGAAATGAAAGGTTGTGTCTTCAGTTTTGATCATGCTTCATGTTGTTGGACAGTTACATTCATTAAAAAAAGCTTTGAACTGAAATAGGTATTTTTTTAATACGTGCTGAATAATTTCAGCTGGAAGGAACCTACAACAATTTGACCACTGCAGGGATATATAAATATATAATTTTTTTTTCCAGGTAGAAATCCTGGTGCAAGTGTATAAAATATACAAAATTAAACCCAATTTTTTTGGTTCCCCCAAGGTGTGGGCATGGCACTAACATGACCAGAGCTTAAGGAGGTTAAATTAAGGAAGGCTTGGACTGCACTGCTATCCCAAAACTGGCTAAAGGCTGGTTAAAGCACCTTGATAAAGAGTGAGGTGACATTACAACCCTTACATAGCTGTTTAATTCAAAGGTCACCACACTCAGGAAATGATCCAGGGATTGAGACAGTGTTTTACAGGGAATTCTGTGTATTTCTCAAGAGTACTCAGACAATGGGAAGCCCTCATCCTTCAGATTTTTGCTATTGAAAATACAAAGGAATAGAAAAAGCAGGAAGGTGGAGAGGGACAACAAGAGCAGGTGGGAATGAGAGAGGAAGGAAAAAGGGGACAACAGGAAAAGAGAGGTTATTTTAGCAGAGGGAAACACAAACCATGAAAAAGGATAAAAGGTAAAACTAAAGGAAAAGTAGAAATGGAAAGCAGAAACATCAGTGATTCTTATTTGTCCCATTCTGGAACACTGGTCCAAAAGACACCTCTGCTAGCTCCTTAAATACCATCAGCACACAGGACCAGCAGCACTGGCTTCTATTAAAGCACAAAGACAAATTAAAAATAAACAACAAAACAGAATTCTTCGGCTTACAGGAAGCACAAAGCCAAGGGCCAGGAGTGCCCCACTCACACAGACTATCAGGGTTGTTTATAATGGTGCAAGAATGTCCTTCTCATGCCCCTCCTTGTTTCAACTGTGAGTCGGGCTGTGCTGAGGCAGATAAAGTCCCTTTACAACCCTCATTTAGATAAAACAACTCCAAATATCCTTTAACTCCCCAGCCCTCCAAACTGCTCCATGGATCCCCAGCACTTCCCAAGGATCCAAGGCACGAGTTAATCCCGACTGACAAACTTCAGAGCACTTTTTTTGCTCGGTGTGGAGCAGCCTGAGAGCATCCCACAGAGCTGTGATCGAAATCTGCCACCTGATTTACATCCCCCCAGCACAACACAGCCTTTTTTTTCACCCTCCATTTTTTGGGCTCTAGTACGTGGGCAAGTAAAAT